CGAGCTCAATATGCCCTCACAGCATTATGTACACGAGCTCAATATGCCCTCACAGCATTATGTACACGAGCTCAATATGCCCTCACAGCATTATGTACACGAGCTCAATATGCCCTCACAGCATTATGTACACGAGCTCAATATGCCCTCACAGCATTATGTACACGAGCTCAATATGCCCTCACAGCATTATGTACACGAGCTCAATATGCCCTCACAGCATTATGTACACGAGCTCAATATGCCCTCACAGCCATTATGTACACGAGCTCAATATGCCCTCACAGCATTATGTACACGAGCTCAATATGCCCTCACAGCATTATGTACACGAGCTCAATATGCCCTCACAGCATTATGTACACGAGCTCAATATGCCCTCACAGCATTATGTACACGAGCTCAATATGCCCTCACAGCATTATGTACACGAGCTCAATATGCCCTCACAGCATTATGTACACGAGCTCAATATGCCCTCACAGCATTATGTACACGAGCTCAATATGCCCTCATAGCATTATGTACACGAGCTCAATATGCCCTCACAGCATTATGTACACGAGCTCAATATGCCCTCATAGCATTATGTACACGAGCTCAATATGCCCTCACAGCATTATGTACACGAGCTCAATATGCCCTCACAGCATTATGTACACGAGCTCAATATGCCCTCACAGCATTATGTACACGAGCTCAATATGCCCTCACAGCATTATGTACACGAGCTCAATATGCCCTCACAGCATTATGTACACGAGCTCAATATGCCCTCACAGCATTATGTACACGAGCTCAATATGCCCTCATAGCATTATGTACACGAGCTCAATATGCCCTCACAGCATTATGTACACGAGCTCAATATGCCCTCACAGCATTATGTACACGAGCTCAATATGCCCTCATAGCATTATGTACACGAGCTCAATATGCCCTCACAGCATTATGTACACGAGCTCAATATGCCCTCACAGCATTATGTACACGAGCTCAATATGCCCTCACAGCATTATGTACACGAGCTCAATATGCCCTCACAGCATTATGTACACGAGCTCAATATGCCCTCACAGCATTATGTACACGAGCTCAATATGCCCTCATAGCATTATGTACACGAGCTCAATATGCCCTCACAGCATTATGTACACGAGCTCAATATGCCCTCACAGCATTATGTACACGAGCTCAATATGCCCTCATAGCATTATGTACACGAGCTCAATATGCCCTCACAGCATTATGTACACGAGCTCAATATGCCCTCACAGCATTATGTACACGAGCTCAATATGCCCTCACAGCATTATGTACACGAGCTCAATATGCCCTCATAGCATTATGTACACGAGCTCAATATGCCCTCACAGCATTATGTACACGAGCTCAATATGCCCTCACAGCATTATGTACACGAGCTCAATATGCCCTCACAGCATTATGTACACGAGCTCAATATGCCCTCACAGCATTATGTACACGAGCTCAATATGCCCTCACAGCATTATGTACACGAGCTCAATATGCCCTCACAGCATTATGTACACGAGCTCAATATGCCCTCACAGCATTATGTACACGAGCTCAATATGCCCTCACAGCATTATGTACACGAGCTCAATATGCCCTCACAGCATTATGTACACGAGCTCAATATGCCCTCACAGCATTATGTACACGAGCTCAATATGCCCTCACAGCATTATGTACACGAGCTCAATATGCCCTCATAGCATTATGTACACGAGCTCAATATGCCCTCACAGCATTATGTACACGAGCTCAATATGCCCTCACAGCATTATGTACACGAGCTCAATATGCCCTCATAGCATTATGTACACGAGCTCAATATGCCCTCACAGCATTATGTACACGAGCTCAATATGCCCTCACAGCATTATGTACACGAGCTCAATATGCCCTCACAGCATTATGTACACGAGCTCAATATGCCCTCACAGCATTATGTACACGAGCTCAATATGCCCTCACAGCATTATGTACACGAGCTCAATATGCCCTCACAGCATTATGTACACGAGCTCAATATGCCCTCATAGCATTATGTACACGAGCTCAATATGCCCTCACAGCATTATGTACACGAGCTCAATATGCCCTCACAGCATTATGTACACGAGCTCAATATGCCCTCACAGCATTATGTACACGAGCTCAATATGCCCTCACAGCATTATGTACACGAGCTCAATATGCCCTCACAGCATTATGTACACGAGCTCAATATGCCCTCACAGCATTATGTACACGAGCTCAATATGCCCTCACAGCATTATGTACACGAGCTCAATATGCCCTCACAGCATTATGTACACGAGCTCAATATGCCCTCACAGCATTATGTACACGAGCTCAATATGCCCTCACAGCATTATGTACACGAGCTCAATATGCCCTCACAGCATTATGTACACGAGCTCAATATGCCCTCACAGCATTATGTACACGAGCTCAATATGCCCTCACAGCATTATGTACACGAGCTCAATATGCCCTCACAGCATTATGTACACGAGCTCAATATGCCCTCACAGCATTATGTACACGAGCTCAATATGCCCTCACAGCATTATGTACACGAGCTCAATATGCCCTCACAGCATTATGTACACGAGCTCAATATGCCCTCATAGCATTATGTACACGAGCTCAATATGCCCTCATAGCATTATGTACACGAGCTCAATATGCCCTCACAGCATTATGTACACGAGCTCAATATGCCCTCACAGCATTATGTACACGAGCTCAATATGCCCTCACAGCATTATGTACACGAGCTCAATATGCCCTCACAGCATTATGTACACGAGCTCAATATGCCCTCACAGCATTATGTACACGAGCTCAATATGCCCTCATAGCATTATGTACACGAGCTCAATATGCCCTCATAGCATTATGTACACGAGCTCAATATGCCCTCACAGCATTATGTACACGAGCTCAATATGCCCTCACAGCATTATGTACACGAGCTCAATATGCCCTCATAGCATTATGTACACGAGCTCAATATGCCCTCACAGCATTATGTACACGAGCTCAATATGCCCTCACAGCATTATGTACACGAGCTCAATATGCCCTCATAGCATTATGTACACGAGCTCAATATGCCCTCACAGCATTATGTACACGAGCTCAATATGCCCTCACAGCATTATGTACACGAGCTCAATATGCCCTCATAGCATTATGTACACGAGCTCAATATGCCCTCACAGCATTATGTACACGAGCTCAATATGCCCTCACAGCATTATGTACACGAGCTCAATATGCCCTCATAGCATTATGTACACGAGCTCAATATGCCCTCACAGCATTATGTACACGAGCTCAATATGCCCTCACAGCATTATGTACACGAGCTCAATATGCCCTCACAGCATTATGTACACGAGCTCAATATGCCCTCACAGCATTATGTACACGAGCTCAATATGCCCTCACAGCATTATGTACACGAGCTCAATATGCCCTCATAGCATTATGTACACGAGCTCAATATGCCCTCATAGCATTATGTACACGAGCTCAATATGCCCTCACAGCATTATGTACACGAGCTCAATATGCCCTCACAGCATTATGTACACGAGCTCAATATGCCCTCATAGCATTATGTACACGAGCTCAATATGCCCTCACAGCATTATGTACACGAGCTCAATATGCCCTCACAGCATTATGTACACGAGCTCAATATGCCCTCACAGCATTATGTACACGAGCTCAATATGCCCTCACAGCATTATGTACACGAGCTCAATATGCCCTCACAGCATTATGTACACGAGCTCAATATGCCCTCATAGCATTATGTACACGAGCTCAATATGCCCTCACAGCATTATGTACACGAGCTCAATATGCCCTCACAGCATTATGTACACGAGCTCAATATGCCCTCACAGCATTATGTACACGAGCTCAATATGCCCTCACAGCATTATGTACACGAGCTCAATATGCCCTCACAGCATTATGTACACGAGCTCAATATGCCCTCACAGCATTATGTACACGAGCTCAATATGCCCTCATAGCATTATGTACACGAGCTCAATATGCCCTCACAGCATTATGTACACGAGCTCAATATGCCCTCATAGCATTATGTACACGAGCTCAATATGCCCTCATAGCATTATGTACACGAGCTCAATATGCCCTCACAGCATTATGTACACGAGCTCAATATGCCCTCACAGCATTATGTACACGAGCTCAATATGCCCTCACAGCATTATGTACACGAGCTCAATATGCCCTCAC